TGAGTGAGCTACTCAAGTCCCAATATGACTCAGTTTCTAGCAAGCCGCTAACCAGACTGAGAGTCGAAGATCAAAATGAATTTTTTATGAGAGAGCCACAAAATTTGGATAACACAAGCCTATCCGATGTTATCCTGACGCCAAATGACTTCGAACAGGCGATAAATGACATGCCCATGCACTCTGCCCCAGGGCCAGACTCATGGAACTCCGTGTTCATCAAGAACTGCAAGAAGCCCCTATCACGAGCCTTTTCCATCCTATGGAGAGGGAGCATGGACACGGGGGTCGTCCACAGTTACTAAAAACAACAGACATAGCCCCACTCCACAAAGGGGGCAGTAAAGCAACAGCAAAGAACTACAGACCGATAACACTAACATCCCATATCATAAAAATCTTTGAAAGGGTCCTAAGAAGCAAGATCACCACCCATCTAGAAACCCATCAGTTACACAACCAAGGGCAACATGGGTTTAGAACAGGTTGCTCCTGTCTGTCTCAACTATTGGATCACTATGACAAGGTCCTAAATGCAGTAGAAGATAAAAAGAATGCTGATGTAATATATACAGACTTTGCGAAAGCCTTCGACGAGTGTGACCATGGCGTAATAGCACACAAAATGCGTGCTAAAGGAATAACAGGGAAAGTCGGTCGATGGATCTATAATTTCCTCACTAACAGAACACAGAGAGTAGTCGTCAACAGAGTAAAGTCCGAGGCAGCTACGGTGAAAAGCTCTGTTCCACAAGGCACAGTACTCGCTCCCATCTTGTTCCTCATCCTCATATCCGACATAGACAAGGATGTCAGCCACAGCACCGTGTCTTCCTTTGCAGATGACACCCGAATCTGCATGACAGTGTCTTCCATTGCAGACACTGCAAGGCTCCAGGCGGACATCAACCGAATCTTTCAGTGGGCTGCAGAAAACAATATGAAGTTCAACGATGAGAAATTTCAATTACTCAGATATGGTAAACACGAGGAAATTAAATCTTCATCAGAGTACAAAACAAATTCTGGTCACAAAATAGAGCGAAACACCAACGTCAAAGACCTGGGAGTGATCATGTCGGAGGATCTCACCTTCAAGGACCATAACATTGTATCAATCGCATCTGCTAGAAAAATGACAGGATGGATAATGAGAACCTTAAAAACTAGGGAGGCCAAGCCCATGATGACACTCTTCAGGTCACTTGTTCTATCTAGGCTGGAATATTGCTGCACACTAACAGCACCTTTCAAGGCAGGTGAAATTGCTGACCTAGAAAATGTACAGAGAACCTTCACGGCGCGCATAACGGAGATAAAACACCTCAATTATTGGGAGCGCTTGAGGTTCCTGAACCTGTATTCCCTGGAACGCAGGCGGGAGAGATACATGATTATATACACCTGGAAAATCCTAGAGGGACTAGTACCGAACTTGCACACGAAAATCACTCACTACGAAACCAAAAGACTTGGCAGACGATGCAACATCCCCCCAATGAAAAGCACGGGTGTCACTAGCACGTTAAGAGACCATACAATAAGTGTCAGGGGCCCGAGACTGTTCAACTGCCTCCCAGCATACATAAGGGGGATTACCAACAGACCCCTGGCAGTCTTCAAGCTGGCACTGGACAAGCACCTAAAGTCGGTTCCTGACCAGCCGGGCTGTGGCTCGTACGTTGGTTTGCGTGCAGTCAGCAGCAACAGCCTGGTTGATCAGGTTCTGATCCACCAGGAGGCCTGGTCACAGACCGGGCCGCGGGGGCGTTGACCCCCGGAACTCTCTCAAGGTAAACTCCAGGTAAACCCCTAGAGGATGTTGTGTCAGTATTCCATTGAATAACTGAATACTGACAAGGGCCTTATACTCACTTGTGTTCGGCTCAAAAGCCCACAACTCACTGCCGACTATAGGATGATTTTAAACCCCTTGAAACACAAGAACTGCGCAGTCCCCTGCATAACAAGTAAATTCAAAACCTACCTTGCTCTTGTAGCGTGAGGTGTTGGATGCACCTTTCGACAGGTATCGTTGACTTGATTGAAGAATATGTGTCTCGGTGCACTAGTCTATAAAGATAGTTCTCAATACACTCGGTATACAACACTGCTTTGTCTTTCAATTGTTTTAAATTCACAGTAATGTCACTACAGGAAGCTGTGCACACTTCTCTGTAATATACCACGAATGTGGATTGTCCTTTATGCACAAAAACACACAGATCAGTGTTCTTTGTTCATTATCCCTGACTGGGTTTAAAGCAATCTGCCCCGCGGCACTCTCTGCTGGCCTCAGCTGGCCCTGGCTTCTTCCGACACACAAAAAAAGTGTCGATCAATCATGTTTCCCTTGCTTGCTAAACTTCCACCATGAAGCAATGCAGAATCCTTGATTCTTGCTGTCTGAGCATAGATGTCAGTGTATGCTATCTTTAACATGGTAATAAATGGGTGCTGGATTTACCTTAATTGTCCTGCTAAGGTAAGAGATCGATTTTTCTTTTATTAATCTACATTCGTTGCAATGGTCTCTTGCAAGGAAGTCACGTGACCATGACACACACTGTTACTGCATCTGGAATCAATTATAAACTGTTGATGCACAAGACGCCATCGCCCTTTCTGAGAGGGCTGAAAGGGCTGAAAAGGGCTGTAAGATCTGAAAAGGGCTGAAAAGGCTGAAAAGGGCTGATACCCCTCTCCTGGAAAAAAATTCTCCAATGTAGTGTCTTTCACTAACATCGTAGTATTAACAGCAACAACAACACTTGCTACAACTCTGCAGCATCACTTCCACATCAGTGAGTGGGACCAAACTATTACTTCAATAAAATAACAAGTTCAAACGTTGATGTTTGAAGTCGTCTACAATCGAACTAACACGATAAAACAAAACTGTGGTATGCTCACTTTGGTGACTCATAAAGCCCACATCATATTAAAACAAAGGAAACCCAACGTGGCCCGGTAGGCCTCTTGCAGTCCACTACTCAACATATATACACCTGACTGCTCACTCTGGATTCTTTATATAAGGTTTTTTTCCTCACTGATCTATGAACCTGATAAATCCCACGTCGCTGCAATATTATTTTACCACGTGTCGTCATTAGACTTTTATTTGGTATACTCAGGTCTCTATTAATTTTGTCGTTAAAATTACATGGTTAAATGACAGGTAGTGGAACGTGTTGTCATTGAAATACTTAAATATTTAAACATCCTTTGTTTCATCTTACTTCGCTTGTATTAAAAAAAGTTAAAGTAATATACTAACTCAGGTTTAATCTGTCTTAGCATTTCTCACTCACTGGTAGTAACACAAGCTAATTAGAATGTAACTTCTGCTGTTAGCAAGTAAGAGCATATGTCTCCTCGCCCAATTAATGAATGTCTCTCAGTTCATAACCAAAGCGAGTCTCTCATTAGCCAGTCAAAATGCCTGCTCGTTGGCCAATTAAATAACATCATTCTCTACTTAAGTCGTATCCTAATGGTCAATGAAGGTATCTCGCAGACAAATCATAAAACGTCTCAAACTATCCAGTCAGGGAACATAATCCATTGACCAATGAAAGAACATCTCTCACTGGTCTAACCTATAAACATCTCTCACTGGTCTAACCTATAAACTTCTCTCACTGGTCTAACCTATAAACATTTCTCACTGAATAATCATAAACATCCCCAATAACCAATCAAAAAAAAACTATCACTGACCACTCAAAGATTATCTCTCACTGACCAATCAGTGAACATCTCTTGCTGACTAATGAGAGAACATTTCTCACTGACAAGTGAGAGAACATCTCTTACTAACCAATCAAAGAACATCTCACAATAGCCAATCAGTGTACATCTCTCAACGACCAATCAATGAGCATCTCTCAATAACCAGTCAGAGAACATCTTTGACCAATCAATGAACATCTCTCACTGACCAGTCAATGAACATCCCTCACTGAACAATTATTGAACATCTCTAACTGACCAGTCAATGTTCATCATTATCTATCCAATGACTGAACTTCTCTCACTGGACAGTTAACTAAATATTCTAACATAAATATCACAATATAATATAAATATTACTATTTTATGAAACGTACTGACAAACTCGGATTTTTCATTTTAAATGCCATAATAATTATTATAATACAACTATTCCTACTACTACCACTAATAATAATAATAATAATAATAATAATAATAATAATAATAATAAATAATAACAATAGTAATGATAAATTTTAAGTCTAAAATATTATTAAAGTTGATAATAAGTAATTATACAATAGTGATAATAAAGTAGTAATTGATACAATTCAATAACGATTCGTAAAGTTATGAACAAATTATAAAACAAATATGTAAAGCCATAATCAACGCATTATGTTTCAACAGCAACAAACACACTGTATAGACAATGCACAAACAAAGCGTGGATAACTAAATTGCTTAAGAATATATGTGTAAATAATTTACATTGGAAACACACACGCACACACTCATTCACATACAAAATACACACACACACATATATACATTATATACATATACAACAATATATATAAATATTAACAAATATAGATTACTAATCTGGATATGTTAGTCGGGTTAGTAATATAGAGGAAGTGGTGATGTTGGTAGTGAAAATGATAGTGACCGTTGCGGTAGTGTTGACAGTGATATTGGTGACTGTGGTGTTACTGATGGTAGTTTAAGTGTCTGTATTGGAGGTAGTGGAGTTTGTGGGAGACAGAAGTGTGTGGTAGGTAGTCAAATGTATGATAGGAAATAGGATGTGTGGTCCGCAGTGGAGTTTGACAACAGTGGAGTGTGTGTGGTCGGCAGTGGAGTTTGACGACAGTGGAGTGTGTGTGGTAGGCAGTACAGTGTGTGGTAAGCCGTGGAGAGTGTAACAGTGATGTGTGTGTGTGTGTGTGTGTGTGTGTTATCTGGAGCACGCCACGCTAGCAGAGTTAGTGAGTGAGTACCTGGCATTATACCTGACGGAGGAGGAGAGGGTCTGCCTCCTGCTTGAGGCATCAGACATCGTGGTGTACTCTGTACCGCAGCGCTGGAAGTTGTGTACAGGCTCCAGCGGTTGCTGGGCGCACTCCAGGCAGGGGAAGGCCCGTCTCACCACCCACTCGAGCACTGGGATTCTTCTGCACGCCGGCAGGGGCAGCCAGGGGCAGCAGGGAGAAAGAGAGAGAGACGCACACACGAGGCTAATTAAGGGAAGTGACGGTCGAGGGAGAGATAGGGAGAGAGAGAGAGAGGCAAACAGACAGACATGAACATTATATAGAGAGATGATTAGGGTAAGTGTAGTGTGCGCGTGGGAGGGAGAGAAGAGAGAGAGAGAGGAGAGAGGAGAGAGAGAGAGAGAGAGAGAGAGAGAGAGAGAGAGAGAGAGAGAGAGAGAGAGAGAGAGAGAGAGACAGGAGAGCAGAAGACAGACAGACAGAAGAGAGACAGAGAGAGAGAGAGAGAGAGAGAGAGCAGAGACAGAGACAGAGAGAGACAGACAGACAGAGACAGACAGACAGAGAGGAGAGGAGAGAGAGAGAGAGAAGAGAGAGACAGAGACAGAGACGAGACAGACAGACAGAGAGAGAGAGAAGACAGACGAAGAAGAGAAGAGAGAGAGAGAGAGAGAGAGAGGAGAGAGAGAGAAGAGAGAGAGAGAGAAACGGGGGAGAGAGAGACACACACAGACAGAGACAAAAAGAGAGAGAGACAGGTAGGGAGGGAAAGGAGGGTGATTAAACGAGTGGATGAGGGTAACAAATACAAATAGCAAAATATAAAATATAACACAATGACTGATAAACCAAGGTGATAACATTGTGTAAGTGAAGACAAATAACCTGGTCGATAAATACAAGAAAATAAGAGATGTGATAACAAGTGACAGGAAGCAAGGAAATAAGAGATGATGACAGGTGATAACAATGAAAGAAGAGATAACGAGTGATAAGCAAGAATGAGATAACAGTGATTACAAATAAGGAAAGAAATAATAGGTGATAATAAGGAAATTAATAAGAAATAATTGATGATAACAGGCAAGGGAATGAGATATGATAACATAACAATTTACCGTGAAATAAGAGACTAACATTCGATAACACAAACAAATAAGAGATGATATCATGTGATAAAATGCATGACAATGAATGATAACAGATGATAACATAAGACACACGGATCAAAGATAACATACAAGAGATAATATGAGATATCAGGTGATAACATGTAACAAAACTCAAGAAAATAGATGGTAACATACGAAATAGGGAACAAAGAAGAATGTATTATGATACACAAAGATCTATGTGATGATAACAGTTGATAACATACAGGGAGAATGGATAAAAGTAAGAGATAACATGGACGACAATAAGAGATGATAACGCACAAGGAAACAATAAGTGATCGATAACACATAAATAAAGGATGATAACTGGTGATAACAAATGATGCAGCTGATGACAGATGCAGTCTGTAAAGTTGTCTTAGTTGTCTTGAGTGTCAGACTGTTAGACTGTCAGTTAGTCAGTGTCAGAATGTCAGATAATCAGTGTCAGAAAATCAATACAGAGTGTCAGATTATCAGTCAGATAACCCGAGAGCTAGAGAGTCAGAAAATCAGAGTGTCAGATAATCAGAGAGCCAGTGTCGGATAATTATAAAATATAATCAGTGTCATCGATTTTTCTAATATTTTAACATTTTGTTCAATAATTCCCCAAATTACTAACATTTAAACATTAAATTAACACTACAAGTGTTAAAGGGATGTGCTGAAGGGCTCTTGATCCAAGGGCAGAATCATCATCACCACCGCTACCACCATCACTACAGTACAACCATTGTCACAGCATCACCACCATCACAGAACAATAACAATCATAGCACCACCACCACAACAACAACAACAACACTCGCACCACCACAACCACAGCACCACCACTACTGCCACAGCACCACCACTACTGCCACAGCACCACCACTACTGCCACAGCACTTCCACTAGCACAACACGACCACAGCACTACCACTAACCAAGTACAACCACTACCCCAGCACCCACAACTCTTCTTCACAGCACCTCCACCACAACTCCCATTCACAGCACCTCCACCACAACTCTTCATCACAGTACCTCCACCACAACTCCCCTTCACAGCACTTCCACCACAATACCCATGACAGCACCGCCACCACAGCACCATCACTACCATGGCACTACAACCTCCACAGCACCACCACCACCACCACCACACCACCACCACTATAACCACCTTTTCCACACACTACCACTACAACAGTATCCCATCACCACACCATAACCACCACTACCATCATATACAGCATCACCACAGCCCCTCCAACTCCACGTAGCATCACCCCAGCACCACTATCACCACCAGTGCACCACTAATGCCCAGTGCCACCTCCACAGCATCAACACAACAGCAACGTCACCTCCACGTCATCACTAATATATCAACACCATCGTCACACAGAGTAAAGATTACCACAGCACCACTACTACAGCAACAATACTATCACAGCAGTACTACAACAATACAACCACTATTACGACACCATCACCACAGCACCCCGACAGCTCACTACCACCTCCACATCACCGTATTCAAAGCACCATCACAACAGCACCACCACCACAGTACTATCAAAACTACCACAACACCAAGCACCACCATCATCACAGCACCCATACCATCACTGAACCACAACCAGCACATCACCAGTTCTATCACAGCAGCACCACTACCACTACTCCATTACCACCTTCGCACCCGCACTGCAACAGAAACACCACCAAAGTCCCAGCACCGCCACCACCACACCATCATTATGTTACCATCAACATCGCAGCACCACTACATTAGAACCACCACCATAACACTGCTAACACCTTAGCATCACTATGACCACAACACCACAGCACCACACCACAGCACCAACACCACAGCACACAACACCACAGCATCCACTACCAACACCAACACCACCAACACCACAGCACCAACACCACAGCACCAACACCACAGCACCACCCTACAGCACCAACACCACAGCACCACACCACAGCACCAACACCACAGCACCAACCCACAGCACCACCCTACAGCCAACCAACACCACAGCACCACCCATACAGCACCAACACCAGCATCACACCCCTACAGCACCACACCATCAGCACCAATACCACAGCACCACCCTACAACACACCAACACCACAGCACAATACCAAGCACCACCCATAACACCAACACCACAGCACCACCCTACATCACACACCACCAACACCACAGTACCACACACAACACCACAGCACCACCCTACAGCACCAATACACAAGCACCAACACCAAAGCACCACCCCTACACAACCACCCACAACACCAACACCACAGCACCACACACAGACAGCACCACAGCACCAACCCCACAGCACCAACACCACAGCACCAACACCACAGCACCACCACTACAGCCACACCCAGCCACACACACTACAACCACAGCACCACCACTACAGCACCTACACCACAGCACCAACAACAGCATAACACCACAGCACCGCCACGCAAGCACTCCAACTACAAGCCCACACGACAGCTTCACAGGATTAGTCTTACATCAGCACTTCATACACATGTGACAGCACATATAATCTCACTACATCAGCACAACGGCAGATATAGAAGCACTTAGATAGTTAAGAGTACTCACATGACAGCAATTTATAACTATTGAAAGAACGGCAGATATGGAATATCTAGATATGCATTCTATGAGAAGAAGAGAGAGGAAAGAGAGAGAGAGGAGAGAGAGAGAGAGAGAGAGAGAAGAGAGAGTAGAGGAAGAGAGAGAGAGAGAAGAGAGAAGAGAGAGGAAGAGAGAGTGAGAGAGAGAGAGAGAAGAGAGAGAGAGAGAGAGAGAGAGAGATAGAGAGAGAGAGCCTTTGTTGCCATTTTTAATAAATTGTAGAAAAGACTATGATTTTGTCACAAATGCTCAAGGTATTTGCAATATACTGATAACAATGTCTGTGTTTCTGATAATACCATTTAAATTTCCTGTGTGTTAAGCAATTATCATATAAGTATTTTTGTCACCATTAGTATATGAAATGATAATGATAAGCTATAATAGGTGACGATCATTCACGCGTCTTCGTGCGTCATCAGAAGCTATGCAATGTTGCAAGAATAGCCACAGGTAGACTGAGAGAAAATTTTCTCAGAAGGAAGGTAGTATGTTGACACTGGGTTGTCTCACTCAGAGTGGCAGTCAGGTACCGTCCCCATGTATCCTGTCCCCTCAACCTCCTCCCTCATCCTTCTCCATCGTGTGGTGCATGATAGGTGAACATTACCTCCTATGCTGAATGTAATCGGAAGATCTCATGCACTCTACGCCCGTTTTCATATCTTGGACAAACCGGTAATCTACTGGAAACCACTTAACCCAACATCGGTATTCAGTGAGGAAGGGTTAGGTTTTCCACAATGTCAGTACTTGTAAGCACCCGCCGGGTTGGGCAACTGCTCAGATCATTGTACCCAATAGTTTCACCATAGAAAGAAATATAACTGAATTCTCGTTCTTCAAACATTATAGGAATATCATGCATAACTTAGGTCATTGGTTGTACAAACTCAACAACTATGTACCAGACCTATTGTGCAGTCTTTAGTAAGATTATTATACAAAATCACAGGCTTGCTCATTTTGCAAGGGGCCTCATGAGAATTTAGTGACGTTAGACCACCATTCTCTGTACCTGTCCTGCACGTTTAGCCCGGCAACACATCCTGCCCATCGGTGTCGTCGTACACGGAGAGTTCTGGGAGGGTTAGCACCCCTTCGGGTGAGAGTATGCCCTTGTCGACTCTCAATTTCCCTGGTTTCGTTTCTGGGGATATACTATAATATGTAACCAATACTAGTAGGCCTATCAAGTTATAACTACAAGTTTAGGTGATTGCAGTCAATGATTGCAACTAGCTTTAGGTGGTTACAACCCAAGAGAGCTAAGCAGGTGGATCTATCACCACAAAGATCCTAGTGATAGGAGACTCTCAGGTTTTCCTAGAATTTATAGAGATACACAAGAGCAGGTG